AAAATCTATTTCCTTTTTGGTCATACAAATTTAAGATAAAAATTTTATTTTTACTAGGACTGTTACTTTTAAGCTTCGAGAAATATAAAGCATCTTCAAAGATTCGAGAAATATGATGTGCAAATAGAAAAAATATATATATATTCATAACATATATTCGTAAATATATTTGTATATCTACTATTTTAATTTTTATAAAGAAAATTAAAATATATTATTATTAACTATTTTAAATTAATAATTGTATAATTTTAATTCTTCGAAGCTTCAAAGATTGAAGTTTCGAATTTTCGAAGTTTTGAAATTATGATCTTTAAAGATTTTAATATTGAAGCTTTGAATCCTCGAAATTCAAATGTCGAAGTTTTTGAAGCAAATCAGCATACTTGAGTTTTTATTAATATTTTAACAAAAAATATTATAAAAGTAAAGTCAGTATTAAATTGCCTCTCGCTCTGATGAAGTGAATTGCAATGTTCATGAAACATTGGCATTCTCTTATGGAACACGAAAATAATCTGCGAAATGCATAGCTTCTATAAAAAAACTGATTTTATTTTAATATTAAAAAAATAATGGAAATGTAATGAATTGTTACTTTTTAAATAACGGAAAGGTAATGAGTTATTTAAAAAAATATCTGTCTCATTTAGTATGCCTACTAAATACATTCTTAATCTTGTATTGTGTAGTTATCTCTAAATTCGAGGTACAAATTTCGGAATAAAATGACATTTTGAGTTACCACATTATTAGGAGTTTTTTTTTTCTAATAAAAGGTACTTTTCCGGTAAAAATTCGCTGAAAATACAAAAATAATGAGGTAACAATTCGATTGGAGGTATCACTTTTATAGAATTCGCGATACTTTTCTTTTGGGGATACAAAGCTTTTCGTGCTTATTTCCTATATGCCTCGATATAAATGTACCGCCAGCATTCGACTATTTCGTTAACAAATAGTAATCGTGCCACAGCGCGCGTAACCTGTGCTAACGCGCCATTGCCATATCGGACAACGGATCGGACCAGATCGGACACGCAACTATATTAAGATATATATATACTTATCCACAGTGTCTAATATGAATAAGCTTACAAATATTGATATTTGAGGAGTATTACGTTCATGCCGGGAATTACATTGCGAATGCACTGGATATGTTCGCAAATTAGATAGTAATACAGAATCGTTTCTGTGTTTGTGATGATTCGCCAATAAAACATAATTCGATACTCGATATGACAAAGGAAACAAATCTAAATGCAGGTACATATATTCTTTAACAAGAACATTTTTGCAATATTGTAATTTTCAGTTAGTACGAATTTAAGAATTCTTAATATGTAATTTCTTATTTATACGATTAAACATATATCTATAAGTATCTTGACTCGCAGCCGAACTTATATGAAGAGCATATATATAATACGTAAATTTGAGATATCCCAACTCTTTCTTTTCCCTCTAAATCCGCTTTTGTCTTTTCAAAACGGCTGATACATATAAGTCTTAAGTTTAATCGCGGATACAAAAAAAAGCAGAGAAAATCTTAAGGCTGTTGTGTAGATACGGTTTAAGTATAATTATACGTTTTTCTCTACTTTACCTTACATCTATTGTGACAATTATATTTCGTTCACTGCGTCATCAACTGTTTTGAAAGAACAGAAGCGGATTGGGAGAGAAAAGAAAGGATTGGAATACTTCGAGGTACATATATGCTCTTCATATGTATGCTCTCCAAATCATCTAGAACCGCATAATTATCTCCTCACAATGGATACTTCCTGATTTTGAGGTACCATTTTAACTCTTATGTTTGGTGGAGAGACTTATGTCCCTCGTAATTTCCGTAGAGTTTTTATTTCAACGTGTACCTTGTACTGCTAATTTTTGGCAGTACAAGGTTAAGAATGTACACCTACATAAACAACCCCCAAAAATGTGACAACACATATTGACACTATAAGCACTGCAATAATTTTCCTGCAACCTAAAACAAATAAAAACTAATTATAATATTAGAATAGGAGAGAACCGAATTATGCGCATGCACATATAGATTATAAACTTCTAAACGCAAAAACATTTCATATATGTGAGTGGACTATATGTATAATCGTCATGATAAATTTAAATTATAACGAAGTTAATATTTCATTTCTATTTGATATAGTTATGCCAAGCTAATAATCATTTTACTATTTTCTAATATTTTACAATTAAATAAATCTTTTTACTTTTTTAAAAATACAGCAAATTTTTATCTTTCTTTCTCTTTTCTGATTTTTATAGTGTACTTTGTTTTCCATCGTTGCCTATGACATTAATTTTGACTTACGTTTCTCATATTTAGTTTTTGTTATTAATGTTCTGTTGTAATTTGTGCTAGTTGATTGCCTTTGCCATTCCGGCAAATCATATTGTGGGTGAACTGATTGAACAGGTGTTCTGTCCAGATAACAATTCGGCGAGTACGAATACGGAAACGACATTGATGGTGAATAGACTACCATATGTGGATATCTTTGGTCAAATTGTGGATTGTGTGTCTCTAATGCAGATGTTCCTGTTGCCTCTGCGTATGAAGGTGGCGCAGCATTGTTTATTGTATAAATATTTGATTTATTTTGCATGTTTATATTGCGTCACGGCTTCGTAGCAATTACCGCAAAATCTGAAAGAGAAAGGAAGAAGAATCAAATAAGATGTCAAGGTCATTTTGACGATCATTTGCTGCGCAAACTGGCTAAGCGTCACTACTCAGCATGCATGTCAATACGTGCTGAAAGATAGATAGAATATACAATTTCTTTATTTTCTTTTTCTTTTTTTTACGCGAAGTGACTGCTATCTCACCTCCCCCTCTTAGGGGCGTACAACTTCCACGCGAAGCGACTGCCATCCCATCTCCTTCTCTTTCTGCTTAGGAGCGCATATGAAACACGCGAAAAATATTTAAAAAACCGTTTTTTAAATATTTGACCTTAAAAATGATTTTGTCGATAATTTTCATTATCATATTCATAATCAGGGCATCAAAATACAGTAGTATGTCATGTGACAAGAAAATCGGAGGGTTCACCCTTTCGGAATTCCATCAAAAAAGATCTCACAAAGTCAACTTTAAATTTTTTTTATGAAAATTTCCACTTTTTATTTATATTCTTGTAGCTGATATCAAGATTTTTTAAAAACATTTTAACAAAATTCCTTTTGGTTGTGACAACTCTTTTTCGAGATGTGTGTTGACAAAGTCCTGCATTAGCATCCAAGGTGTCTAACCTTCGAGCTCAATAAATCTTGTGAATGCTATTTCGAGTTTTGACCTTGATATATGTTAAGATCAAGATTGAAGATTATTCTGCTTATCTCTATTAAAAATTTTTTGTGACTTAATTCATCTTCCATTATTATCAAGAATCTTATTTTATTTGCATTCTTATTAAATATAATATCATTGTTGAAATCTGTGGTAATTTCTACCTCGCAACTTTTATTAAAGACAAGAATATATTTAATACGATTATAACAAAAAATCTAGAGTATTCTATGTAATAATGTCATGTATATATTTTAATAAATTTAAAATTTTTTATTATATCTCCCGTGTGCAAATACGATTCTGAAATTTATGTCATTTATAGATATAGATCTATAAATTTGCGTAAAATATATAAATTACATTTATAGAAAAAAGGTATTAAACTTTTATTTTTAGCTAATACTTTTTTTATCTCTTCCTGTTTATCATTGGCCGGAAGCAATTCTTATAATGAATTATACGTGCCTCGAATCTATGATGTGAACATAAAGAACATCGTTAGCATAAAAATAAATTTTCCATGTTGCATCAATGATTCACAAAAATAACTATTTAAGTTTATTATAATATATAAATGTATGCTTTTTTTATAGCTTTACTCTTCATTTTTCAAAAACATGACAAGAATAACGTATTTTCGATAGTAATCTACAATAAATTTTTATCGACAACATAAGTTCCATTTTTAATAAGAGACATTTATAAATTAAAGCTAATTCTTAATTAGAATCAAGTCTTTGTATAACAAGATAAAAATTTAGTATATATAGATAAAAGTTTAATATAGAAATGACAGCTGATTAAAATGTCATTATAAATCTTTAATTTTGTCTTTTATTTTCTAGTAATTAGGGTTTAATGGTATTATCGAGTATTATATCAGTTACCTTTTATAAATTTTTTATCTACTTTGTTAATTATTTTATCTACT